GGGCTGCCGCTGGGGCCCCGGAGCGCGCTCCCCGACATCCCCTACCCCAGACGGAGGTTGACGGGGCAAAGCACGGGCGCCCCTCCACGAGCAGCCCACGGCCCGAGCCCCCTGTTCAGGGGCCTCTGGAAGCTTCGAGAGCCCTCGGGAAAGATCGCCCCGGGCCAGGCGGAGGGACCGTCCTGCGCGCGAGCGCAGCGCCCGGAGAGGGCCACGTGGCGCGGCGGGGCGCCTGGCCGGCGTGGACTCCGCGGGACTTTCCGCCCGCGGGGGCTCCCGGGGGCCCGCCGGCTGGGGGAAAGGGGAGGGTCGGTCTGGTCGGGGGGTGGTGCTGGCACCGTCTCTGTCCGCCGCCCCCTCCCCTGGCAGCCCCTTCCCGCTTTACCAGTGAGGGGACAGGGCGGGGAGGGGCCTTGGGCGTTTCGAGGATGGCGAGGACTGCGCTTTTCCTAACCCGGGTCCTGGGTCCTGCCTTCTAAATCCCGTCCCAGCTGCCACCTTCTAAATGCAACCCCAGAAAGGCGCTGCTTTGTCCCAAGCGCGCAATCGGACCGAGAGGTGGGGGCCCCGGGTTCCCTGCGCCCCTTTCTCTCCCACACTCCTCGCGGCTCTTCCCTCATTCCGCGCTCTCCACACGCTTTGCGGGCTAGCGCCCCTCATGCCCAACCCGTCCACGCCAAATTCAGGTGGGGTTGGCATCGCGTGCCCCCCCTTTTCCTCTCCCCAAGTAAACTTAAACGTTGAAAGGTGTCAAGGAAGAACAAGAGTCTGTCCGGGGGAAGGAGGTTATTCTCGTCTATGTTATTTTACTTTCTACCTGTTTCTTTATTGATTTACTATAATGCCAGTCCGTTTTCTATGCTGCGTGCATAAAATGGAAGAGGTGGGGGGGAGAGTGCACCGAGGTAGCACAAGCCACAAAGCCACTCCTCTCCGCGTCCCTTGATTGTGGCACAAAGGAGCAGAGGCCAGCGCTTTTCCACAGTGGAACATTCGAGATATTGACACGCATTCATCAAAAAGGAAGAAGGAAGGACTATCCCGGATATTTTAATAGCAACAGGAAGAAAGATGACGCGGAACCCCATCAAATGAAACAATACTATTTTCATTCAATTGATCGCAAAGTGTCTTCAATGAATAACTTGGCACTTATTTTTAAGTTTAACAGAGGTGAAACCGAAACATTTTATACCGACAACACATCATGAAATAACAGCATCTTCTTTTGTTTAAAATAACTTAATACACTAGAAAAAATATGGCAAATATAAATAAGTTTGTTTTCATGGAGAACAAATAGTTACAAAGCTCAACCGCAGACCAGAGTTCAATGAGAAGAGCTTTTCCTTTAGCTTGTAAATTAGAAAAACAAAACTAAAGAGGCTTGCTAGAGAGAATTGGGATACAGTTTGCTCAGCCCAAGACCCCAGTTTAAATAGCTACATGAATGGAAACGAGAAAAAGGTTACTTGAATAGATACACCTTTGTGAGATAAAATGCAAATGTTGAAAGTCCACCATCAGTTCACACATTATAGCCAAAATAAACTTTGTTCGTGTGTATCGACATATTTTACACAAATCTAGTGCCTGTATCTAATCTAGCTGGGTATTAGGTGAGGTTGACTGGATAGAGAGGGGAAAATAAAGCACTGTCCTCAAGTGGGACTTCAGGGAACCAGCAAGAGGGCATACAAGAAAAGGGGAGCAGGAGGGGACTACCGTTTATTGAGCGCCTACTAGGAATCAGGCACCTGCAGGGCGCTGTACCTTCATTATTTTTCATTTGGTCTTCTTGTTTTCTTTTCCGTTCCCCCACATATTTTCTGCCTGCCTCTGTCTTCTTGGGACAATCAGAATGTAAATATGTTCCCTTCCGACTTTTTTCTTTTGTCCCAAGGACCAAAGACAGGCCAAAAAATATATATATGTATATCAATTTACAGACGCTTTTGGTATTTTTCATAGTGAGGATGAACATGGAGTGAGTGCAAGTGAGTGAAGGGGGGCGGGGGAGAAGGAGGACACCATCAATGGAATACAAGTAACATGCAAACCGGAATTTGCTGTCAGCAGCCCGGACAGTTTTGCCCATAAAATTTGTGGCATTATTTTTTATATTATCATTTCTCTCTCTCTCCTCGCTTTTGTTCTGTCTTCCCTCTTCTTGCTCTTCCATACATGGTGGGTTTAAACTCAAAGCATCTGATTCAACGTAAAAGGAGGCCCGCCTCTCATCAAATTTCTTGTATTAAAGTGAACTTCGCAGAAAAAAAGGTCAGTTTCAAAACCTGTGAACTTCCCAGCTGCGCACTTCTTTTTAAATCTTCATTATTTAAATAAGTATACCTCTTTGTTTTGCCTTCTTAGCCCATTTTTTTAAAGCACATATTGAGTTGGTAACTCTCCCCACTCTCTCGAAATTCGTCCAGGTTATTTTTCCTTATTTTTAAATGTATAAAATAATTTTTAAAATACTTTTGATCCTTGGTTCCTCTATCCGATTTCAGCTTCCGCCAAATAGTAATAAGCTCCCTTTCTCTTTTCTTCTGTTTTGTATTTTGTTGCTGTTTGTCTGTTTTTGTTTGTTTGTTTTGCTCATTTCATTAACAGGATTTTTATTTCAACACAAGAATCCATCGCTGCAGCAGCTTTGCGGAGAGCCACAACTCCGCCGTCCCAATACCCTCTGGTCCGATCTCTCCAGAATTTCCCAAACCCGCCCCTGCGAAGCGGAATCCTAGGCCCCGGGTGCGTGAGTGGTGCGGAGCTGGTGCGCCCAGCGGGATGCGGGTCGGCGGAGCCCGCCCTCCGAGTGCCGGTGCGGAAGGGGCAGGGCGGGCTGTGGGGCAGGAGGACCGGCGACGGGGGCCGGAGGTCACGGAGAAGAGCGGGCGCGGAGGGCGTGCAGGCTGGGCGCCGCGCGCGGGGCGCAACGTGGGCGTCACAGGCCCAGGGCGGCCGCGTGCTTTTTGGCTTTCAGTCTGAGATCGG